TTTTATTGTATTTTTAAGATTACATAAAACAGTAATTTATATAATAATTAAATATTACAATTACAGTTTTTCATGTAAAATTTTATTCTTTTTCAAATGTGCTTTTTAATTATAATAATTAATAATAAATTTAAAAATTTTTATTAAGAATAAAGTTCATTTTAAATTTCATAAAATGTGTGCAAAAAATACTATCTGTTATATACTTTTGAAATTTGAATATTATATGTAATTTTGTTTGTTCTACAATTTCACTTAATTATAAAAAGTAGTTTTTGAATGCTGATTTTGAGTTTATTATAAAGAAACTACAAATTTTACTTAATATATATAAGTCATAAAACAGTTTGCTGACCTATATATAGATTGTTCGGCATTCTCTTATGATTATCTTCCAGCTCATCAGGTTTCAATAGATATCTAACTGCTGTACCCTTTTTTAACTTTATTTCTTTATATCATCTAATTATCTGCTTAGCTTGACTAGAGAGTTTCGATTCAACTTCATCTAAAATCATAGCATAAACTGGTGACATTTTAATAAGATGAGTCTTACTATTATTCATAAAATTAATGTACTTCTTAAGGATTTTGTTTCATAATCTTGATTATTCACCTTTAGTTAATCATCCCTCTATAGCATATTGGACCTTATATATTAATTTGCTAAATTTTTCTTGAATGCTTTAATCAAAGCTAAGCTCTCAAAATTATAAAGGTCAACAACACATATTGTAATACTATACTGTTGCATTTCTCATGAAAATACGTCTCAGAATGAAGCATCACCATCAGTCATTAATAATGTCAGCTATATAAGAGGATTAGAAGGATTCTCATATATTTCTTTGATTGCATTCTAGATTTCTAAACTATTTCTCAACATTAATAAATATCTATCCTTAAAATGTATTACCACATCTATAACTAGAAAACTACAAATGAATACTCTCTTACCATCCTGATAATTAGTAGTATGAAGCAAAATATTACACTAGTAGACTTTATTTGGGATTTTGATTTTTGAGAAACTTGCTTCAGCTTTGCATGGTAATGGCTGTCAATAAATTTAGTAACTATATTAGTATTTTATCTATTTTGTGATATTCTGTAATCAAAAAGAATATCCTTCTTCCTGACATGCTTTATGTAGTTTTTTTGCATTGGAATAGAAACCAGGTATATTATAAAATAGAAGTATATATACTATACGAAACTCTTCATCAGAACCAATTACAATCTGTGGTTGGCTCATTCTCAGGCTATGATTATATAATGTGTTTAAATCAGGCAGAAAATACTATGCCTACACTTTCATGCGATCTGGTATATTCACAGCTTTTAGATACGAATCAGAAACTTCATAACAAGCTTCAAGATAAGATTTCTATTAATAAAAGTTACAAGAAAAAATTTAATCTTTTGTAAAAGAGCTTGAGCAATGTTATTGAACTATTTCATTATAGATAATACTATCATAATTCATGAGAAAATGATAGAGAAATTTAAATCAAAAATATTTGATTTACAAAAACAGCTTAGGATCTTATAACAAGATAAAAAATTTAAAGATGAGGTTGAGTCTATTTAAGATAGTTGAATCATAGAGCTTGAAAATAAGATAAAACATCTCAAGATAAGAATCTGAATTCTCATAGATAAAAAAAATCTCAATAAATACTTTAAATATAATAATAACTAATCTTATTGTAAATGTTAATAAAGGACTAGAGTGAATAGAAAATCATATTAGAGGTGTTGATACGTCTATGCAAAATTCTGTCAATATTATAGATAGAATCAGAGGCTTGTTAAATACTATTTGGATTACTTTGCAAAATATTACAGTTGAGCGTGATCAATATCAGAACTTATTATATGATTTAATCTAGTGAATAGATAATCTTAAGAATCAGTTTACTGATAGTGAAAATCAGAATTTATGGTTACAACGTTTATTAGATGAATTCTGAGTTTGGATTGAAAGAACTATAAGAGAAAGAGACAATACTCAGGAAGAGCGTGATATGGCTATTCTGGCTTATAATAAAGAGAAAAAAGAATCCTGCCATTAGTATTTTTAATATCAGGATAAAGATAGGCATATTAATAAATTGTTACAGAAATATTTTGCTTTTCAATTATTGATTTAGTATAAAAATACTTAAATTGCTGAGCATAGGAGAACTGCGTATAAATGGATTTTGAGATATAATAATGATATAGAGAGATGAAGAAGAATGTTTACAGATTTACAAAATCGACATTTGAAATAAAAGGGACGTTATAGGAACTCACAAAATCAGATACAGGCTCAGAATCAGAATATTTTTAATTTACAACAACAAATATTAGCATTACAAAATAACCCTTTACGAAACATGGCTGCTGTTCATGAAATTTATTAAATGTTAGCTTCAGGTCTTAGGTAAGTTCCTAATTATACAGGTAAAGAAATGCCAGATGAGTACATACAAAAAATTACAAATATTTTTGAATCTGCTAATGCTGTAATCACGGCCGCTAATAATGCTAATGCAAACACTTTTGTTGATGCTCAAAAATGTGATATCTTAAAATCTAAAATGAGAGATAAATTTTCTCTAGTATTAGCAAATGATCCCTATACAGGTGGTAATCCTACTATTAATTCACCTACTATATTTACAGTTTGACTTTAGCATAAATATTGAGAAGTGATAGCTGAAAATGCAGAATTAGCTTTACAATCACTGATATAAGAAAGGTTTAACTCAGTCGATTCTCCTGATGTTTACGAATCTAAAATCTGAAAACATATAGTAAGTTTTACAGATGATCAGATATTACTAATATTATATACTCATTTACCTTCAGATTTTTGTAATAGTGTAAAAATTTATATGACCATAAGAGGTGCTAGTAACTAAACTGTGGATAATTTCTTTATTGATCTCAAGAAGTGTTGGGTAGAATGTCAAGTTAGACTAAATATATTTTTCTAGAACTAAATCCAACCTCAAGTTAATTATCAAGGAGCTACTTTGGTTAATTTTGAAAAGTTAAATTCCAAAATAGCTTCTTTAGAGGCATAGTTAGCAGAATCAATGCAGGTGTATTATAAACTTGCCTAACGTTTACAGCTACCAGAAAATGTAGTTAATTTGAATAATGCTTTAATCTTTAATAGTTATATTAATCAAGAATTAGAAAAAAAATTAGGAATAATCATAATTAATTTAGTCAAACTTACCAAACTCGTAAGAGAAGATATCAAATCAGCTCAGTATCAATGTTCAAAATTCTCAGACTATAATAATGGAGGATTGGAAAAAAGATTAGAACAAATTGAAGCCCACTTAGTCAAATTTACTAGAAAAGATATCAGAGGTACCAAAACATCTCAGCGTTAATGTTTGGAGTCCTTACTTTTTAGAGGATTAGAAAAAAGATTAGGATAAATCAAAGCCTTATTGGCTAAACTCGCTAAAGATTCCAAATCCAGAAGTGGTTGAGTTCATATGGCTACAGTAGATAAACAGTCTGATCCTATTTTTTCTGATGATGATACATCAAAACCTGAGGACAATGATTATAACTCTGATAATTCGTTAGCCAGTTCAAACTCTAGAAATCGTGATATAAATATTTACATAAGTCATAAAAATGGAAAAAAAGGTGAATTATGCTAAGCAATATGAATATCCTGATAAATTCTTAGAGTCTAAGGTCTCTAGTAAATCTGAGCTTCATAAGGTAAAGCAAGACAATAATTTGTCTTCTGCCCATAATGTCTCATTAGATAAAGATAGCTATAGTAAGCGTGTGTCTTTAAAAGAAACTATTCGCAAAATCATTCAGATCAAATTTGATAATTGTCTTCTGTACATAATTTAGCAGATTAAAAGTGTATACCTATCTTAGCTTAAGATTCAGATGAAAAGAATATTTTGGATAGATCTATGGAGATAGATTTTGTCAAAAAAAAGGAGCTTACCACAAGCATTGCGTCTATAAAATGCAAGATTATGCATCTTAAAATTCTAGCTATAGCACTGGACTCTTGTGCTAAACTTCTTATTATAATATCTAATATTGTTGAGTACGTAGAATATGAAATTGACAAATCCATAAAATATGATCTTAGTGATATTGCTACTGTGCCAGTTGAATCTATTAGAGTCGTTTACAATTTACTGATAATCTTAGCTTCTGGATTTACTATATATGGAGACCCTCACAGCAAAAGGTAGTTTCGCAATGATTACATAATTTTTGAGATTTTGTGATAACCATATACTTACCGATTTAACCTTTCAGATTTATCATTTTTCCATATATAATATAATAGTAAAATTGACATAAATTTAATGCCTTTTCATAATAATTAATTTTTTTACAAAATATTACACAAACTTTATTGAACTTAAGTATTATAAAATTTCATGATTTAAATAAAAATAAATATATTTTCTAAAAGCTAATGTTCTCAATTATTTACTTGCAAATTTTGTTTTAGATTATAAAGACCATATTTGAAAAAAAAGTCTTTTTTTACGATGATCATCAAAATTATCACATGATTTCAATTGCGATTTTTTCAAAATCACATGATTTGCCCAAAGTCACCTTTTGCTGTGAGGTCCCTATATGAAGATTTTATAGTTATAAAATACTCTAAGCCAATGCTAATATTTTTGAATCCTCTTCTTAAGAAATATAAATGTACAATTGACTGAGATAAAAATGAATTAAAGATTTCTCATAATGGTAAAGATTTAATTATTTCAGTCATTATATACAAAGTCAAGAATAAGCTCGAGGTAAATTGTATAATCACTACTTCTGAATGTAATGAATCCTCGATCCTGGATTGTATTTCACAAGATTTAAGTGAGAATGATAATGTATTAAAAAAAAGTAAGTTATAAGGAACTTGAAAAAATGCTATATAATACTTTTAAGTATAATGCAAAAATCAATGAGTATTGTGAAAGATTACAGGCATGCTATGATAAACTTCTTAAAGAATACACAAGTTATTTTTCTAATATATTCTTCATATTCACTATATTTTTTATGTTTCTTTCAGCTATCTTTTTATGTGACGTGAGAATCAGTTGAGACTGGACGGAAGATAGTGTTAGCTCTGCTAATGCAGATTTAAACTTCAATTTCTTCCCTCCAGTCTTTTTTGTCTTCTCACCTTCTTCCAAAACTGAATTAATAGATTTGTTAGGCTCTATCTTAGTATCATGCATTTGTTTTTCTAGTTCTGCAAATGGAGAAACATCTTAGTCTTAAATCTCTGACTCAGTCTGCCCGCTCACAACATTTATATTAGAAAGTGAAGTGATCCCTTCAAGATCAGCTATTGGCATATGAATTGGTTGATTTCACATAACCCTATTTTTTTCTTCACCTTTTCAGATCTGATAAATACGTTTTGTGATATGCAATATTTATCTGTTAAATCCTTTAAAACTTTATCTCTCGGCTTTTTTTCAGCATATTGCATAATATGATCATAATCAGCTGGTAAAAAAAGAAGGAGCATCACATCTCATATATTGCCTAAGCATGATAGCAATTTTTTTATATATATCTAATATAATACTCTGAAATAATTTATTAAATAGGATATATAGAAAGAATGTATTATTCTGAATATATAGGATATATAGGATATATTGAAAGATAATATTTAAGATGTATAGGATATATAGAATAAACAGGATATTCAGAAAGAATGTATTATTCTAAATAAACAAATTATGTCTATTATCTCAGAAATTTATTCGTGCATTTTTTTCTAATATATAACCATACTAATATTATATCCAATATGTATACATTAAATGATATAAAAGATAAAGAGGATGGTTCTTATAAAAAACCTGGTCATCAGCTGGATAGTGTATATGAGCAAGAGCTCAAAAAAAAATTAAGATCTGTTAATGAATTTAACACTGAGATTAATGATCTCAGTGAAAAACTGGTAGATAAATACAATGAGTAGAAAAAGGAGTTTCAGTGAACCTATGCTGATATTAGAAATAAGATTAGCCAATTAAATGCATCTAGTACTAAAGTTAGATCCCAATTTATTTCTGAACAAAAGTCTTATTCTGAGAGTCAACGTAAACTTAAAGTCAAATATACTGCTGAAATCAAATTGCTTAAATCAAATATTAAAACACTAAAGAAAGAGGCAGGACCCTGAACAATCTATATATAGGTCAAATGAAAATTCAAAATTTACTATAATCAATAAGCAAACTATTTTCAACTCTGCTAAGCAAACTCTTATTATAATTTAAGAAAATTTGACTCTGCTAAGCAAACTGTTTTATAGCTTATATATATTAAGTAAAATTTGTAATTTCTTTATATTAAACTTAAAATCAGCATTCAAAAATTACTTTTTATAATTAAGTGAAGTTGTAGAATAAATAAAATTACATATAATATTCAAATTTTATATAACAGATAGTAGTATTTTTTTACACATATTTTATGAAATTCAAAGTGAACTTTACTCTTAATAAAATTTTTAAATTTATTATTAATTATTATAATTAAAAAGCACATTTGAAAAAGAATAAAATTCTACATGAAAAACTGTAATTGTAATATTTAATTATTATATAAATTACTGTTTTATGTAATCTTAAAAATACAATAAAAATCAATAAAAAAATTTTTTTTAAATTTATTTAAGAAAATTAATTATATTAAACAAAATAATAACTTTTAAATACTTTTATTTGATACTTTTTTTTATAAAGTGTGGTAATTCATGATATATATTATATTGATACAGTATTTAATAAATTATATAAATATAATATTCAAAAAAAAAACAAAAAAATTTGAGAATTAATACAATTATGAAAAGCTATTACAATCTGGTGTTTTTTCATATATGGCATTACTAAATATAGAAATGATCATTAATAATCAACATTCTAGAAATCTGATTGACATTCAGTAATACAAAATTTTATTGGCTGTAAATCATCATATAATACCACAAAGATCTAAGATTTAAGATCTAATAAAATTTTAACAAATAATTTTGAGTTCAAAAGAAAGATATTATTCTGCATTACATATGAATGAATTTTTAAAAATACTGAAGAAGAGAGGCAAAAATTTTTGGCCAAAGTTACTTTAAGAAGTATCAGAATTGTTAAATAGCAATAATATTCAGTGAATTGTTATGAAACTAGAAACCTCAAATTTATACATGCAAATATTTATTGATATTTTAGGATTTTTCAATTTTTGTTTTTCAATTATCACTAGCCAAATCTCGAACTTGTTATAAAATAATTAATAGTTCATCTTTTCTTTTTGATTTTAACCCTTAAAGTTGTGATAAATTAGTTTCGTTTAAAGATCTAATTAATGATTCAATTACTAATATCAGTTTCTTCTTCTTCATCGAATGTTCAGCTGATTGTATTTGTGCTTCATCAATAGTAACAAGAATTAGACAGGTAATTAATGGCTTTGTAAAACTGAATTTTTCTTTGATATAGTTTATACGTTAAGCTTGAGCTATAATACTAAATGATTTCAATTCTTCACTTAATTTATTATAACTGTCTAAACTCTCAAAGCAATGAATATTTTCATGTGGATTTAAGAAACCAGTTTTTCTTAATTGAATTCAAAACTGTTATGATTCTAT